GAGGGCCCAGGCCATCTCCCTAAGGAGCTCAGAAAGTGAAAAACGAATCCACAAAGCCAACAGGGTGGAGTGTAAGGAGGGAAACCCAGAGAACGCAGGTCACAGAAGCCATGGAAAGGGCATGCTCTTGGAAGAAGGAAGTCTTCTGCAGGATGGCTTGAGACTGGTTTCTGTGACACAGGTCCCCTGACCAGGGCATCTAATTAGTAAACCTTTAGGTTTTATTTCAACTGACAATTGTATTCAGAGAGTTATACCAAGGAGAGATTCTTCCTGAAAATAGAACTAGGGTTCCATTGGACAATGGGTCTTTTGGCAAGGTGGTCCAGATTGGAATGATACTGCCCAAAAGGCCGGCATGCAGGAAGGGGAGGAAAGAAGGCAATGATTCTGAATCCATGGGGGGTGTGCTGTCTGTCATGAGTGTGTAGTGAATGGGTTGAAGTAACCTGCTGTCTTTATTTTAAAGTTACTAGCCCCAAAGTTCCAAACTTCCCACGTCCTGTGTTTGCTGTGCTTGGCGGAGAAGCTAGAATGGAGGAGGAGAAACAGACTCAAAATTGGTGAAGGGGGTCAGAATAAATGATAAAGAAAGGCCTTTAAGTCTCAATGCTCAAAAGTTGTCCACAATTAGCAGAACCCTGGCAGGCACAAATGATGTTTCCGTATATCTGTTGTCACTGAAAATGCTCATTGAATTAATTTGGAAATTATATTTCTGATGTAATTTCTGGGGTTCATGTCATTATGAATTCAAGATGCTAAAAAATACACAAATACTTTATGAGTCATATTCCTTCAGGAATAATGTGGCTTGAGACAGCATCTTTTTTACTTCTTCTAGGACTATATATACTTGGATGCAGCCAGAAATTTTTGGCTGGGTTACAGAATTTATGTGATTTAAATCTATACTTGCAAACAGATGAACATTTAACACAGCATTGGAATAAAATGAGATGCACTGCTCTTTGCCCAGAGGAGATGATTCTGACCAGCAGAAGTCACACTTAAGATGCAGGAGGAGATACAGGGTGCTTCCTTGCTGAAATGCCATTCTGGGTGTCAAGAAATAAACTCTTTTAAAAAGAAAATCAACCCAATTGAAGGTAGTAAAAGAATATTGCTTCAAAAAGTGAATCTCCTATGTCATCTATGACTCAGTTTCTCCCCCATGCCTATATTTTACCACTTAATATCTTCATTTATCTGTCCATTCACTCAACAAATATGTACATGTAACAAGCACTGATGTTTTGGTGACCAAAACAGAAATATCATCTACCCTCAAAGAGTTCACAGTCCAAAAAGGAAAAAAAAAAAAAAGGAATAAGCAATTCCAATGCAACATATAAAAGTAACACAGCAAGTAGCACACGTACCATGGAATTCTGAACCACACTTGAGCAGTCTAGCCTGAGAACTGAAGGGCCTGCAGGGAAAGAGCTTTTTTCCTTACTTTATTTACCGTTCCTGCCACCCTACCTTTCCCCTAAATGTTGAGCCACCCACCCTTTAAAACTACAATCTAAAACTGTTCAAAATTCTCACAGGCTAACATTTCATAAAAATAACTACACTAAATATTGAAGATGAAGGGGGAGAGAATACAGAAGATATAAAAAGCACAAAGACGGTGAAGTTCTCAAAATGTAGGGTGTTGATCCTTAAGATAATTATATACTGGGTCCAAAGAAGTAGTGCAAATTGGCTTGAACCCAGCCTGTCATTCTGTTCTCCTAGATTCACATTTCTTGGAAGTAGGGATATTTATTTTTATGGCAGGAAAACAGATTTCTAGCTAATTGTCCACTTCCAAGGAAAATTGGAAAAACATCTTACCTATTATAAATATAAGTATCGCTTATGTTTATTTCTTATACTTGGCAAATGACAGCATTTTACGCATCTAATTGGCTATATTAAAGTATGCAACAAATGAATGATTTCATGCACACTCCACAAATGGTAACTTTTTCACTGACACTGCTTGCAAAATATGCTTCCTGAACTCTGGAATATATGCACAGGGCTACAAAAAGAGGGGAAACTAATACTCAAGCAAATTTTCAACCTTGAGCAATGAACATATGCAAAGAGATGAGTTCAGCTACAACCTCAAATCACTGCCCAGTTAACCTGAGAGGAGTATGAAAACAGTTGCTTAAAGGTTACTGAATTACCCTCTTTAAGGGACTTAGGTCTATATGAGTCTATTTCTAGAAAATACGGACCTAGCTTTTCTTTTTACTCTTCTCTTCCTGTGTTTTCCCTTTGTGTTCCTTTTCGAAAACGTTGTCTGTTTTTTCTATGCTTTCTCTTTTCCTTCTCTTCCCTTCTGTAACTTTGAGGTGACAAGACACAGCGAGACCTATGGGGACGTAGCTGAGGAGGTGTCAGAATCAAGGAGGCTGGCCTGGGCTGGAGGAACCAGGGTCAAGGACGCTGCCAGATTGCCAGAGCCTATGTAGCAGGATAAATAGATAGTTATGACCAAGGCCCGTGGGGCCATTGGGGATGGGACCAGGAGCCAGGAGCCAAATGGGGCTAATGGTGGCCAAATAGAAGCTTCCAACCATAATCCTCCCAATAGGAATGCCAAATGGAACAACTATGTACACAAAAAATGCACCTTCATAAGAACCGAAAATCAGGTGAATGATCATAATGCCTGGTTTTACCATTACGTTAAGGGACTGAGGCTGAGGAGATGCTTGGCGGAATTGAGATGATAGTTACTTACACAGTGAATGATCAAGCACATGTTAAGCATAATGGGAGTCAAGTTTCCCACTTTTAGAGAAAAACATTTCCTATATAGAAAGGGTATAGGCTGGAGGAAACTCTGTGGTGTTGAGTTAGATTTAGAGATACTAAGGTGAGCTCATGGTTGATGGATAGATGGATAGATAGATGGAGAGCTAGAAAGAGAGATGATAGAGAAATTGATACACGTGCTACATTGTGTGTGTGTGTGTGCGTGTGTGTGTGTGTGTATGTGTGTGTGTGTGTGTGTGTGTGATTGCCAGCTCTGTCCACTGTGAGGGCCTAGAAACGATACCACTCAGGGAGATGTGAGTACACCCAGTGCCCAGATCTTAGTTTCTAAAAGCCAATCTTCAGACTAACTCAAAGACTAGAACAGGAGAAATACAAGATGAATATGGAGTATCTTGTGACAGAAAGTGAGGAAATGCTCAAATAATGAGGGAGACTTGCCAAAAGGATATATGTGCTAACATCTAGGGGCTCCAAATAGCTTAATTTGGGATAATGTGAGCATCAAAATAAATAATGATGTTAATGTATTACATCACTTGGAAGAAAATAGTTATCCATAAGTTTATACTCATAAATAAACAAATGAATAAACAGATAAATTTAGATGACAGGGACTTTTCTTACAGTAGAATGCTGGCTGATAAATGTAGATCAATAAGGAAATTAGAAAATCACCACTGAGTAAACATCATTGCTTGTTTCAGGTGAAAATCATCAGCAAAGGCTAAATCTAGTGTGTGAGGGTTTAAATAGTGATAGAATACTTATATAGTTTTAAAATATTCCATATATGGGAAGATTAGCAATTTTATAATAGAGCAACCTAGCAGACATCAACTTCATCAACTGATCCAAATTGTGTTCCTCCTGATAGGGTGCCCTGTGAAGAACAGGGCATTCCTGCTGAGGAGTTCCTATTAAAAATCCATCATCTGAATGTAAACGAGGAAACAGGCAAACTTTAATTATAGAAACGAGGAAAAATCAGGCAAACTTTAGAAAATAACTGGACTGTACTCATCGAAAGTACCAATGCCACTTTTGTGGCAAGAAGAGACAGATAATATCGCACCCTGAAAACGAAAGAGATATGACAACAAAATGCAGCACATGATCTTGGATTGAATCCTGGGCTGGAAAAAAATAATTTAAAAAGTCTGTGTTTTCAATAAAAAAGGGCATCCTTGAGACAATTGGTCAATGAGAGGAATTTAAGGATTACGTGGTGGGATTTTTATTAATGTTTTAAATGTGAAATTTCATTGAGTGTATAGTGTTATGTCTACAAATTGCACTCAAATATTTTGGAGGAATATGTATATGTGTATACACACACACACACACACACACACACACAAAACAATACATGCAGTTAAATATTAACAGCTGAAGAAACCGATAGTCCTTTACTCATTTTTACTATTCTTTTCTTTTTTTTTTTTTTTTTGAGTTTTGCTCTACTGCCCCAGCTGGAGTGAAGTGGTGCGATCTTGGCTCACTGCAACCTCCGCCTCCTGGGTTCAAGTGATTCTTTTCCCTCAGCCTCTCAAGTAGCTGGGATTATAGGTGCCTGACACCACTCCCAGTTAATTATTGTATTTTTAATACAGACAGGGTTTCACCATGTTGGCTAGGGTGATCTCGACCAAGCCTCTTGACCTCAGGTGATCCTCCTGCCTCAGCCTCCCAAAGCACAAGGCATACAGGCATGAGCCACCACCCCTGGCCTCTTTTCAGTATTCTTATAGCATGTCTTTATAAAAGTTAAAAATATTTCAAAATAAATAGCAAGTAACCATATATTATTTATAAATGCAATGAAAGAAAAATATCTTAACAGAATTAAGATTTTAAAATTTAAAAAATTGAACATAAAAATATTAATGAAAATTTGGAACTAAAAAGTCAACAGCATTACCCATAGTTTAATGATCCTTCGTACGTTTCAAGCACTGTACTGTTCTGAAGGTGAAATTATATTTCATCTTATTTTTCCTTTCATTGCGTTTGGGCTATTGCCTAAATTTGAAAAAAAAAAAAAACCTAATACATAAAATTTGCAAAAATTACTATCTGAAAAATTCTAGAAAAGATTTGTCCTTTTCTTTAATTTTTTTAAACTTAGATGATATAATTCAGAATCAGGAAAACTCAGTTTGTTCTCAAAGGAAGTGACGATATGAGTGAACGTGCTTGCTCTCTCTCTCTCTCTCGGCTAGGTCTCATATGTCAAAGCTATTGATATTTGGATGGCAGTGTGCCTCCTTTTTGTGTTTGCAGCACTTCTGGAGTATGCAGCTGTAAATTTTGTATCAAGACAACACAAAGAACTGCTGAGATTTCGACGAAAGAGAAAGAATAAGGTAAGTGAATAAATGTATTGGGTTTGGCAGCATCCAATTTTCACTGGAAAGTGAATTTGTTGTATTTAATGGAGATGAAAAGAGAGGCAGTTGGGACTGGGGATGAAATAATATAAAATTTCTTTCGTTTTTTCCAATCCAAACTGAACAGGTCAAAAATAGCATCAGGGAGAAAACGATGACACCTAGCTCTACTTTAAACAGCATATCTGATTACATGAGACCTATATCAACTTCTTTTTAATGTACTTCCTGGAGGGACACATTTTTATTTTAATTAATGAAATATATTATTTCTTAATTGCAATGTTAGAGCATTTCTAATGGTTTCACTTCATCTAAGTCATCAAATGTAATTAGTAGAGTGTCTTTGTCAGAGGTAATTTATTTTAATCAAATATTACTTATTTACTAATACCATAATGACAAATACATGCAAAACTATGTGGTCTCTTTTTGATACATATTTTCATCAGCTAAAAACGTTTCTTTTGAAACCCCATAAGAATACAATAAAGTGCTATTGTTACGTGGCTATTATCTGATAAATAATGAAACCAGGAGAAAACTTGGAACATCATGAAGAGACCGTAGTAAGTTGCAGAAGTAAGCTCCTAACTGAATTTTGATGCCCTAAATGAAGTGTTTCCTCCATGCAGAACTGTAATGGCATCTCCCTTGACATGCACGTGGTTTTGACCAATCTCCTTTCTTTTTCTATAAGAGAAAGCCTCTATCGACAGCGGATCTACACATTTACTTCTAACGTGAATGTGTCAACTGATATTCTGAAAGTAAATGAACTTTTAAAGAATGGAGAATAATGTCAAAGTTTTGTGTAATTGTGGCAAGGATCCAATATCCTGGTATATTTAAGTCAAAAGATAAACCTCTATGAAGTTCATCTAGTGTGCATTTTTAAGTATTTTTAAAGTTGCAATTTTTTAAGGATTCTTTGTGGTTTATAAATTATGCTGCAATTTATATATTTATTAAACTTCTTTAAAAAGCACTAAGCTTTTTTTTTTTTTTTTTTTTTTTTTTTTTTTTTTGAGATGGAGTTTCGCTCTTGTTACCCAGGCTGGAGTGCGATGGCGCGATCTCGGCTGACCGCAACCGCAACCTCCTGGGTTCAGGCAATTCTCCTGCCTCAGCCTCCTGAGTAGCTGGGATTACAGGCACGCACCACCATGCCCAGCTAATTTTTTTTTTTTTTTTTTTGGTAGAGACGGGGTTTCACCATGTTGACCAGGATGGTCTCGATCTGTTGACCTCGTGATCCACCCGCCTCGGCCTCCCAAAGTGCTGGGATTACAGGTGTGAGCCACTGCGCCCAGCCAAAAGCACTAAGCTTTGACCTCTCAGTGCTTGAGTCTATTTAGTATTAAACATATTCTAAAGCAGTAACTTACTTATCATTTCTTACTGGCCCTCCAAAGGGCGTCACTTCTTCAATAAACACACAATTAGCACGGAAAGAATATCAGCATTCAGCATTGGGAGAGTCAGTAATGTATGAACGAAAACCAGTGCTAAGAGTTGCATTTAATTAAATTTTATGAAAACCAAAGCACATCTTTTTGTACACTGAAACATATTGTGATGGGGAGATTATCTTCTTCCCTCACCTCACCCTGGTCTACTGGTCTGTTACATTTTCTCATACCTCCTCATTCTCCCTTTATCTCTTTTTCTTCCTGTTCTCTCTCCCTCTCTACCTCCTACTTGCTCCTCTTTTTTTTCATAATACCTGGCACTGGTGGAACAACAATGACAGTACAAATGCTTATCACAGGGGTGATGCTCTGGTCTTTCTTTTTTATCAGTGACTGATAAAGACCACTTTCCCCCTTCTAGTATCAATAATTAGAAGTAAAGCAATACTCAGGTTCCCTATGATTATGATTTGCTTTTTGTCATTTTGATTTTCCATTTCTTTACCTTTTTTCCTCTCCTTACACAATTTTGAATGTATCAAGCATGTACTCTAAATACTGGAAAAGAGAAGTATTGCACATCCGGTGTCCAAATGAGGAAAGTGTGAAAGCTCAGACATACCCTACATCCACCACACATCCAATAAACACCGTTTCTAGTAGAAAAAGTATTAGACTACACGTCTAGATACTCAATTCTGGGTCCTTCTTTTAAAAAATTATTATTACCTAAGTACCTCTTTACTCTTTACTCAGTTTTACCACATGTAAAAGTAAATAAAACTATTTGATGTTCCTTCCTCTTTAGCTCATAGAAAGATGGAAATATTCATTTTTGCTAGTTATTGGTACTCTAGGAAAATGCAAGAATAGTCATATCTTACTATTTTCTGATAACTACTTGATATATTCAGGGATCAAATGTAATTAAAAGTAATTATGATTTAATGAAGAAAAGAGTTTTTTTAAGTTCAATTTATACATTGAGGTAGATACTTTGCATATGTGAAAATCTATTAATTGCTACAAATGTCTGTTCAAATGATATATGCGATTACAACCAATTGTGTAATTATATTTAATCATATATGAATTGATGCTCTGGTTTCTCAATCCTTCTTGGTCCACTTTACCTTCCCACAGACAGAAGCTTTTGCATTGGAGAAGTTTTACCGTTTCTCAGATATGGTAAATTGACTTTCTTGACTCTAAATAGAGGAATGTGCTCATCAGTAAAAAGCAGACAGCATATTCTGCACTACCAAGGCAGTGTTTGGTGGGGAAACACAGCCCCTTTTGTTTTGAAAGCTGAGCAAACACCATCCCCCTTTAGCTAAGAAGGGTATTTTCTTTTTCTAAAAACTTTATTCTTGTCTTGTCTCACCCAGTAAAAGGATATTTAAATATTATCCTTCATTTTATTAACAGAGCTATTTGATCGGTCAAAATGATTTAAAAATATATGTTAAAGAGAAATATCACATATATCTTGTAGTAATCATCATAGGTTTTTTGTACAGTAAACTCATATACCTGTACAAAATTAGTTGAAAATAAATGGAAATTTTATTTATACAAATTCCAAAAGCAGCTGCACAAGAGACCTCAAAATAAGGCAACAAAATGATTTATGCCTTCCTTGTATCTTTAGAATCAATTCTAAACATTAAAATATGTTTAGATTACTTATAGTAAGTGAACAATTTATTTTGATGGCAGCATCCTTTGAAATTTTCTAATAAAAAGAGATCACAAATATACATGTCCAGGTATAATGATTAAATATTAGGAAAGCAATCTAAAATAGATCATTTTGGTCTCTCCATGGTTTGACTTGGGTCCCATAATCTACTATGCAAATAATTAAATAGAAATCCACTGAAGCCAGGAACTTAGCCTGGGAAATCACATACAAATAGTTCTGTCTACTGAACTAAATTTCTGGGTTAAACTATGTTTAAAACTAGCTCCCCAGATGATTCTACTGTACACTGCAGGTAAGAATCCCCTCAAAAGACATGCTGAACAATTCTTGCAGTAATCTCCACCTCATAACAGATTATCTAGACCTGGCATCATCTTAAAGTACTTGGCATGTTGTCTTATAATATACAATCACTCAGCTATTTTCCTTTGCTACTAAAATTACATCTTATTTCCCAGCATCCCACTTCTCTCTTTGTTTTTCATCCCTGAAAAATAATTTCACTTGATCTACCTTCTTTTACTCAATTATCTTAATTGTAAATTTTTCATTGCATGACATTTACATAATCAGGTATAGTGTTTGCAATATATATTTATAGATGCAAGTAGGTATTAGACTATATAGCAGATATATATATATATATACTTTCAAAGAAACTATAATATTTCTTTGAAAGACCAACATAATTATATCCCCAGCAGCTAAACAGTTAATGTTTATAGAAACCATAGAATGAAAGTCATTTAATTAAATAGTACTTTATGAAAACTCTGATGTAAAAACAGGCTTACCTCATGGACAGTCAATAAATTCTTATTTTTAGACAAGAAACAATATAATAACGCAGATATATTCATAACAAAGTATATACATCACATTTGTTTTTAAAATAGTTCAAGCATTGGGCAAATTTGGGGGTAGTTGGCTTTTTGAAAACTATTTCCCCAAACTAACAATGCTCTGGGCTAATCAAATTTGTCATTTAAAACTATGTATTTGCTTAGAAACAGTCTGAGCAATCTAAATTTTGAAATAAACATATTCAAAATGAGTGTTAATGTTGGTACTATGCCTTTTATTGACATGATTACTGGTTTACACGAATTTTCTTCAGTACTCTAATTTGGTAGAACAGGCAAAGTAAATAAAATAGTCTCACTGTAGAAAGTTCGCCACAACAGGGGTCCTTACATTAACGGAAATATGATTCCTAGGAAAGTTTTAACTAGGCTCAGCATTGGCTTCAGCATTGCATACAGTCTTTCAGACTTACTTTTTCCTCTGTGAAGGTACCAGAGAATCTAGCATCTATTGTGAAGAAACACAAGTTTGCTCTTACATCCTAATTTCCCCACCCCACACTGCCCCAGCCTGCTGTGTGCTGATTACGCACTGCACCATGTCATGGATGCTATCTCTAGTGCTATGTGTGTGTGCGTGTGTGTTTCTGTATGCATGATATGGGGAGTATTTTGGTTAGAGTCGCTATTCCCATGTATGATAGCATTACTTTAGTCCTGGAGCCTTAAAAAGACATGCCAAGGTAATTGCGAACACGTTATTTGTTGAGCGATGTGGATGAAATGGGATTGCTTTAGTGCATTTCATGTAGCTTCCTCCACAATGCAATGTAATAGTGTAATGGTTTGCTGCAAGAAAACATGCACCAGTATTCTAGTTTCTGTTTCCCTACTGATTATTATTTATATATGCAAATGAATAGGAATGGACCATTAGTTCTAGATTTAAGAAATCTTGACCAAGTTTATGTTTTGTTAGGAACAATGATTATCTTTTGAAAAATAAAGATATCATTGACTGCATTTTGACCATCTGTACACAAACTTTATTTTATTTACTTATGTTTTTATATGTTGTCTTACTTTAAAAATAATTCAAGGTATCTTCTTAGAATATTAAATAATTGATTTTCTGTCCTGTGGATTTGTCAAGCCTAAAGTCTAAGGATAAATGCAATTTTATATATATATACTATTTTGATGAAAATGAGGAGGAATCATGGTTGAAAACAATATGGCATCCATATACACTAATTATTCAATAATCTTTCCATTCCAGGTCAGCTTATGCTATTCCAGAGCTAAGGTATTCTTTAAAAAGTTAAAATAGTTCCTACAATTGTCTTTCATACATAAGAAAAGTTATTTCCCAATAACTTAGATTCAAAGAAAATTCTGTTTGAATGACTCTAATATCAGGAGTTGAAATTGCGTCCTCTCAAGATAAAAATTGTAAGACTTTATTCCCTATGAACAAATATTTAGATATTTAGTTTATGTTAAATGTAACTATTTCTTATAGCTATATTCTCCCTGAAAATCTGTTCAGGACAATAATATTTGATAAGGTGATATAATTTTTGTTTAATCTAAATTTACATGCATTTTGGTGACTTCCATTTCAGTGTTAACTAAAATAAAAATGCTGTTTTTTAACATATAATATCTATTGCTATACCCTGTGACACTCCATAATTATGAGTTGGCAATCAATGAATCTAATATATTATGCTAGAAATAGATATATGGATTTTTAAATAAATAATTCCATTGATTTCTTATATATCCTCTATAATATTTCATCTAGGGCTGGGCGCGGTGGCTCACGCCTATAATCCCAGCACTTTGGGAGGCCGAGGCGGGTGGATCACGTGGTCAAGAGATCGAGATCATCCTGGTCAACATGGTGAAACCCCGTCTCTACTAAAAATACAAAAATTAGCTGGGCATGGTGGCGCACGCCTGTAGTCCCAGCTACTCAGGAGTCTGAGGCAGGAGGATTGCTTGAACCCAGGAGGCGGAGGTTGCGGTAGCCGAGATCGCGCCATTACACTCCAGCCTGGGTAACAAGAGTGAAACTCCGTCTCAAAAAAAAAAAAAAAAAATATATATATATATATATATATAGTATTTCATCTTTTTGAATTTACATTTTAACATTTATTAATCTCCAAACCATTTCTGAATCTAGGCTTAATATGCCAAGTATACTCTTGGCTAATTAATAGCTAATTCTAATGCCATCTATAATAAATGCAAGATTCTCCTGGAGTGAAATTTCAAACGATTTTATATTAACAATTTACTTGCAACAACAAAGTATGTTTTAACCTCATCTATAATTGCACCATTTTAGACCTTTCATTTATAAATGACTTAAAAATGTGTGTAGATGTATGACACGGAATATTTTATTTTAGACTGATATTTTAGAAAAACAATTTTAATTCATTCACTTTTTCATCTGATCTTGATATTCTCAAAGGGCAATGATTTTTCCCAAAAAAAATAAGTCATTGCCATGTTTATTAGTAATTTAAAATAATCCACACATTTTGAATCCATATAAATAGAAATTAGTAATAATTCAATTTTCCTTCCTTTGTCACATTCCCAATTGGTAATAAAGTTACAGAAAATTATCTAATAAAAAGACATTTGGAATAATCTGTTTAATTCTTTAATTGCATAAACATTGCCCCAACGGTGCCTACTGATGGAGAAACATTAAGATGAAAATAATGTCTTTAATGCTGTTATATTTTACAGCAATTCACATAATCAATACTTCATGCTATTCTAGATGCTTAATGTTTTATTCACACTCAGTGACAATCTTCATGCCTTTGTCACTCTCACATCCACTTGTTTTCTTTTTTCTGTTCATTTTTGAGGACTAAGAAAATACAAAATGAGCCCTTGCCTCACACATGTGTTAATATGCAGTATTGTGTTTGATCACACAAATGAAGCAATTCTATTCAGTGACAATACGCAACCTCCTATTTTCTGTTGGTCTCTAATATTTCTAGTTTCAGCTTGCATTTTATATGAATCAGTGTTTGGCATAATAATTTAAAAAAAATGAAAAGGGACACGCAAAGTTTCACAATATGGTATTGAAACATAATGACTGAAATGTTTTTATTGTCAGTTTTACATTTACAAAAAAAAAGGATCTTCCTGAAAAAAAAAATTGTGCTACATACAAATGTGTCTCCATTTTTCATTGCCTACCATTCTAACTTGCTTGAAGCATAGTAAGAAGGTTTACTTGTGGGTAAACTAAACTATTTATTTAATTTCACTTTTTGGTCAGCGGTTTTGCCCACTTTTTAGTTCATTCTATTTAATCTTTATTATTACCTAATTTTATGTTGTCAGGGGCCTTAATTTTATACCTAATAAATATTGGCTAACACATAATGCCTCTGAATCAAAAGTTCTACATATTTTTTTATTCCTTCCTTTTTTTACACGTAATCCATTAGAATTTAAACTGAAGCTATTTCCCAAAATTTAATTATCTCAAAAAAGTATTTGAGTGCTAATTACAATAAGGAATATCACTGTACATGTAAGCATACATAAACACAGGATATTTATGACTGTGTAATGCAAAGTACAGAAATAAGCAATAAAATAATTCAATGCTGCTTCTAATTTAGTAAGCTAATAATAATAATAATAAGCTGATAGAAAAGCTTTAGCTGCACTTAAAATTACTGTTTAGGAGCAACCTTTCAAAAAAGTCCCAAGAAGCCAGTCATTAAAAAAAAAAAAAAATCACTTGATGTTTTTAAGGTCCAGGGGCTCATGGTCTCTGTCATCCACTGTCTTACTACAAGCGCAGACGGACCCCGTACAGGAGTCTGGTCCTTTCCTTCCCACAGAGCTGAATTTCTGTTTCTGAAAGGGTCCTAGTATGACTCCACGATGCCTCATCTCATGTGCATACTTAAAATGATTTGTGCTGTTTCATGGAACACATTTCAAATGCGAAGACTCTTTGGTTGCATAAATTAGATTTGCAAGGAATTCTAGCAGTCATGTGGCAAAACCCATGTATTGCAACAACTGAAACAGTGAGGTCTGGAGGGGTGAATGATCTTTTTACTTTTATGCTGTTGGTTAACCCTTTAGTGTAACAGTGCGCAGATGCAAGGCACCCCGGAGAACAGGTGACTGGGTAGACAATTTTACATAGCATTTTAGTGCTAGTTTGGTTACTCTGAGTTTAAAGCATCTAATAGTAAAACGATTCAAGTCATTAGTATTATTTCCTACTGTGCTTTGTGCAATTTCTAGAATAATGTAATATTACACTCAAAATATTAATAATATAATGGCAATTTGAGTGTTTTGTCAGGTGTTTTATGTATCTTCTCTAACCCAGAAACACTGATAGGTAGTATAGCAAATATTTTCCTGCCATGAGAAAACATGTATCGGAGAGTTAAGTAGCTAAATTAAGGCTATGCAGACTTTGCATGTCCTTACAGTCATCACATCTCTAATAATTAAATGCATTAATTGCCCATTCCATTATCTGTTTAAGCCTTTGCTCTCTGGGAAGATGGGATATGGGATGCTCTTCCTGTGCTGTGCTCTTGGGCCATGTTGTGCGTTTTGGGCTAAAATGTGTTCCTTTGTTCTTCTCAAATAAGATCTATTTGAGAAGCCCAAGTTAATATAAAAATGCCTTGTTCCAAGCCCTTAATAGTACCTTCAGCTGTGGCTTTTGTTACAATGTAAAGGAAATCCAAGATGGAATATCTGTCAATTTCAAGCAATAGCCACTGAACCCTCCAGAAGCCATGGGCAAGAACCCTAGGTATTTCATCTACAGCTATGTGTTAGCACTTGTCCTTGGAAAAGTCAAGCCAAAAGCAATTTTCACACAGGTTTTCTCTTGTTGATACTAAGGACAAGCTCTCACCACATAAATGGCTTCACTGGGTGACAGGGCATATGTCACAATTCTGCCTATTGCAGCATGGCCTGAACACCACCATGGCTACATCCAAAGCCAATACAAGGCACCTGCCATGGCATTCTAGTACCCTACTGAGCCAGCAACTCAGCAGGCACCAGTAGGACGCAAATGAATTCTCACCTGTAATTTCTATAAGGAATTGCATCTTCTCCCACCATGGGATGTTCTTAACTGCCTATTTAACCAAGGCCCATTTGCCTGACCACAAGGCAAGACAACTAGCTAGGGCCAAGAAATCTTTGAATATCCAGATATTGCTCTGACGGTAAGAACCAAATTTTGATCCTGCCAGTGTTCATAAGTCAGCTCATGTGTAGACTTACCTTTGCTTTCTTCTCCTGATCCATTCCATGGAGTGAGTAGTGCCAGGTGGGTATGGAGTCCTGACCTTCCATATGGGACTTTCCATTGGTGAACTAGGTGGTCTGCATTGCCTCTGTTGGAAGAAAGCCATGAGGTTCAGACCATCGTGGGTAGCTCAACTGGAGGTCCATCACTGGCCCATTGTCACACAGGATTTTGTTACACGGACACAATGCATTCCACCAGAGTTACTCACTTTCAGTTGCTCTTGAATGTACTATTTTAATTTTATCAGGGCACTTAGACTGGAATGTCTTTTTGATATCACCCATGATGTGGCAGGTATCTCAGGCCTAAATATAGACTGATGCCCTTCAGATTCCTTTGGTCTTGGGGGCTATTTCTAACCAGAACTCAAGAGAATGCCAGCTTCTGTCATTCAAATAGATTATACCTGCTGACAGTGTCAGATAATTTTCTAGTCTAGAATCTTAGCAGCTGCCTTAGAGTGCCACTATTGAACTTTTTCCAGAAACTCCAGTCTATGTGTGTTTTACTTGCATAGTCAGTGAATTTTAAGACCTCAGAGGGACAGCTTGGCTACTGCATGCCTTAGATCTCTCACAGTCTGCTTTAGTTTCCCTTTGAAATTCAATCTGTTTTCTAGTTACTTTCTAATGTGGGGCCAACAGAAATCCAAAATGTACCTGCCAAATATCAACAGTGCTGTAAGCTTTTTTTTACGTAGTAGAATGTAGAAGAAATCGCAGTTTGTCCTTTCATGTTTGTGACTTGTAGCTAGTATTCTCAGACCAGGTTATTTCTTGTAAGTGGGTTCGTGAGCTGGACCTTGCCTCTCATCTTGATTAACTAACTGCCCTTACCTAGTCACACGTGCCACTACAGTTTCCAACGTCCCTGACTTTCTGCTTGGTGAGGGAAACTACCATTTATTAAACAACGTACTTCTGAAGACAATCTGGACCAAACTGTTTCTTATCCAGTTGTGACAACATATTGGAGAATTTAGGTTTCCTTAGGGATGTATGATAAGGCTATCATTGTCTCCACCTCACATGAAGACATACTATGTTTGACGTTTTTTTAACCATTGAGACTAAAAACATCAGTCAAGTCTCCCAAATCCAACCAGCCTCCTGTCCTGAACTCATGAATAGAGTTTTGTGTCCAAAACTCTTGACTAGTTTTCACCACATCCAACCAAATGGTGGAGGCTGATGGGAAACTTCTTTACTGAACTCAATAGTCAGCAGTCAGTCTGTAGGATCCATTTAGCTTTATCATAGGCCAGACAGGCTATTCTAGAGAGAATTAATGAAAACCAGCACCCCTGCACCATTCCATTAATCAGAGCTGAGAGTTCCTGTAATCTTCCTACATAGGAGGATTTAGGCAATTCTGAGGGCTCTTATTTTATTATATCCAATTAAAACTGGGCTAAGGAATGACTTGCCCAGGACTAGGCTCAAGCCAGCAATGGCAAGATCCTTCATTTATGTATCACATCCTTTACATTTACACATTTGGTTAAAGGCAATGCCACCCATTGAGTATACATTACTCTTTTTTTCCTACCCTCAGTTTTTAGTGTGACCATAATACCTACTGCTATAGCTGATCCTTTGTCTCCTTCCCTGCTCAGGCATCTTCTCGTTCACTCTCTACATTGCTTTCCTGTTCCCCAGCAATATTACCACATATTTCACCTTGGCATTAGGTAATTGCAAGAAGCTGTGTTCACTACTCTCATGACAATTCATCTTTAAACACTGCACAGCCTTAGAGCCCCATGAAGAATCGGGCAAGGAAATCCTGGCCTTCAGGTCAGTCTGTTTTGTTTCAGCTGCCTTAACTGATGGAGTAAATTTAGAAACCTGTGTCAATGCCTTTTGTCTCCATTCCCCATTGGCACCGTGGGATTTAACTTCTGAGCTGAAAGGAACAGATCTAACAGGGTTCCTTAGGGGAGTCTGCTGCCAAAACTGGAACAGATTTCCATCCTCCCGGCAGGCAATAACATGTCAGGAAATCTTTCACAGAAATCCTGTCAATCTTTTCGGTGTTCTTTTCGTGTCTTAACAGCCACCTAAAGAGAGTTTATAGCTGTACCTCTGGCCATGATCTTTCTTCTGAACAGCCTAGATTTTTTTTTCCCATCATTAAAACCCAGTAGAGCAGTTCAAGAGTTAATGTACCCATGAATCTAAATACCCTCCTGCCTTCCCAGAATAAGGGCCACATGCCTAAGGACTCCCCTAACCCAGTGCCTACCTGAGTTTTGGCCAGGGCATATGGTTTGAGTAGGCTCCTTTCTGATTATTATATGGCCAGCCCAGATTTTCTGCTGTACTTAACATATCTTCTCTTCTGCAGAGGTGTTACAGTTCACAGCAGTGACAGCATCAGTCGGTTTCCCTTCTCAGCATACATTGATTTATTGATTTATTTGGAGATGAGTTTTCACTCTTGTCGCCCAGGCTGGAGTGCAATGGTGCGATCTCAACTCATTACAACCTCCGTCTCCCAGGTTCAATTGATTCTCCTGTCTCAGCTTCCTGAATAGCTGGGATTATAGGTGCCCAGCACCACTCCCAGCTAATTTTTTGTGATTTTAGTAGAGACAGGGTTTCACCATGTTGGTCAGGCTGGTCTCAAACTCCTGACCTCAAGTGATCTGCCCGCCTCGGCCTCCCAAAGTGCTGGGATTACAGGTGTAAGCCACCGTGCCTGGCCAACATTTTTTCTCTTTGTTTCGTACTGAATCTGATGGTTAGGAGTATTTTGGTTTCGACTTTTAGGTTTTTTCCTCTTCATTATTAATTTATTTGAGTGTAAATGATAACACACTCCTGGATTCAAGTGATTCTCCTGCCTCAGCCTCCCGAGTAGCTGGGATTACAGGCATGCATCACCACACCCAGCTAATTTTTGTGTGTGTGTATTTTCAGTAGAGACAGGGTTTCACCATGTTGGCCAGGCTGGTCTTAAATCCTTACCTCAGGTGATCCGCTGCCTGAGCCTCCCAAAATGCAAGGATTACAGGCATGAGCCACCATGACCAACGCTCATCAGATTTATACCACCCCAGGCTTCACCTACTCCAAAAGGGTCACTGACGTTATACCTGCCAGTAATTCCTGAATGATAGCACTGCAGCAGAATTGGGGTTAGCATGCACAGCAAACATTACATTTTCACACTGAAGCACCCAAGAATACGTTATTAGCTCCTAAGTCAGTTACACTAAAGATATAGGAAAGCATGGATTCCCTAGAGACCTACTAGCACTTCTTAGCAAACTGAGCAGCTCCTTTATGCTGTAATTGCTTTGTCCAGTTTGGTAGCTACTAACTGCATGTGGTTATCGAGCACTAGAAATTTAGTCTGAATTGAGATGTGCTGTGAATGTAAAACACAAACCAGATTTCAAGGACTTCCTATGAGATAAAGAATGAAAAGTATCTCAATTTTTACTTTAATAAATGTTGAAAAGATATTGTGAACATACTGGGTTAATTCGTTTTAAGTTAAAATTATTTTGACCTGTTTCCTTTAACTTGTTAAAATGTAGTTAATATGAAATTTAAAATTACACACATGGCTTTTATTTGTGGATTACACTGTATTTTTACAGAACAGAGCTGCCCTATATTCACTAGTTTGCAGTGTCACTTGCCTGGGGTTACAGAAGGGAAGATTAAAATTAAGTGTGGTGTCCTTCCAAGTACCATCTGGGCTTCTGTTTTCATCTTGAGCTCAGGTCATGAAGCTGCTTGCTTGTGCTTGCTTTACTGGCTGTTTCTCTTTCCCTTGAGTGGTTTGTTTCATGATAATTTTTTTCTTTTTTTTTTTGAGACAGGATCTCTCACTCCGTCACCCAGGTTGGAGTGCAGTGGGAACCAACCTCCTGGTTTAAGCAATCCTCCCCCCTCAGCCCGCAGAGTAGCTGGGCCCACAGGCACCCTCCGCCACACCTGGCTGATTTTTTGTAATTTTGGCAGAGACTGGGTTTCACCATGTTGGCCAGGCTGCTCCCGAACTCCTGAGCTCAGGCAGTCCACCTGCCTCAGCCTCCCAAAGTACTGGGAGTACAGGCATGACCTTCCACCCCAGCCCTCAAAATCACTGATTAATAGAAAACAAGGAATCAACTGTCTCTTGGGCCACTTTCCCCTCAGTTTTATCTCACCAATCATCCATCTTCCAATTCAACAGGGGAAAAACCTGTGCCATTCATATTCCAATTGTAATATTCAGCATGTTCTTTTCTTCAGAGTCTTTGCTATCTTAAAACCAGGTTGGATCAGCATCAGATTCTCCTCAGAACTTCCTCCTGGAACATTTGGCCATGTTAAGTCTCAAAGGATCTGAAAGCCTGGTCAGCTTCTGTCCACTGCTGCTGAGATTTGGGGTTCAAGTTGTCATACAGACTCTCAGGACACCCATGGGCTTTAACCTAACATTATGTTCACTCAGCCTCCTAGGAGGATGTGAGGCAGGAAACCCATCAGGCCTCTAGCATCTGCCTCACACAGGAGACTCAGCAGGTTCTCAAGAGCACAGCTTCTTTTGCCCCTCATCACACAGAACACATAGGTACAGCTGCCCTGGACGAAAGTCAGGGTGTATATGATCATCTTCACACAGAGAATCACAGCCTTTGCTCCAAACCACACTTGTATACAATCTAGCACATGGGCCAAAGGTCTTCAGGCCAATGCACAGCTCCCCAATGCAGGTGCAGCCCCTCACAGTCAATGAGGCGGACTCCAATTCCCCATATAGCCTACCTCTATTGTTTTCAGTGGAATGATGCTCAGGAAATCAGTGGTCATTGTCCGCACTTCTGTAACAGCCAAGGCTGAATGTTAACTCTTTACTCGCACTCAGCTATATGGAGACATACAAATGAGAAAAATTCAGTTGCTCACAAATGTTACTTTTAAATAGATCATCTCTGTTTTGAGATGAGCAGCTAGGGTCTCTAAAGTCTTAAAATAAGTTATTGGCAGGACACAGTGGCTCACACCTGTAATCTTAGCACTTTGGGAGGTCAAGGCAGGTGGATCACCTGAGGTCAGGAGTTCAAGACCAGCCTGACCAATATGGAGAAACCCCAACTCTACTAAAAATACAAAATTAGCCAGGCATGGTGGCACATGCCTGCAATCCCAGCTACTCAGGAGACTGAGGCAGGAGAATCGCTTGAACCTAGGAGGTGGAGGTTGCCATGAGTAGAGATTGCACCATTGCACTCCAGCCTGGGCAACAAGAGCGAAACTCCATCTTAAAAATAAATAAATAAATGTATTTACAAGTTATTCAGAACAGATCATTAGAAAGGTAGTCAATGAATTCTGCTTTACTAGCACATCAGAGAGAATCCTGAAATCTGAGCATTTGACAATGAATTTCTCAAGTTCTTCAACTAACATGTCAACACCTCATTGTAAATACTCAATAAGAAGTTACCGTTTGTCTTAATTTGAGATAGATTTTTTTTAACACATAGTTTGATATAATTTCAGAGCCTATTTTATACTTCAACATTCAGCTGATTTGTACACAAAATAGTGTGAATTACCTGGGTAACCTACATTTTCCTTTAGAAATGCAAAAGCCAGCATGATTTTCGAAGTTATAAAGATGCTATTTTAGCACTTACATAACAACAATTTAATCCCAATTTGTAAGATATAGAAAACTTTAAGGCAAATAATAAATCTGCCTTAAAAGTTTCGTGGAAGCCAAAGCAATGGTAGTCTAAGTGAACATGCTTATTACAGAATACTGGAAAATCAATTTTCAATTTTTGCAAGATTATAACAGTAGTCTCAGGTAGGTTGGGTTGACAGTTTTTCTTTCAAACTTGTGTCCTCAAAATTCAATTGTTTATATATCTTACAATGGAAATATTTTCCAATAATAATATACTTTTGTTTTTCAGGTGGAATTACGTTACTTTCATAATTCCCAAAAAACTATTTTATACCTTACTGCATCAACTGTGGTCATCTTCTCATTTCATAATTCATAATAACTTGTATATTTTCACTTTCATATTTTATAATATATTATTCATAGAGCAGCTACTTTCACAGAACCAACATAATTTTCTTGTCTACTTCTTCTTCTTTTTTTTTTTTTTTGAGACAGAGTCTGGCTCTGTGGCTCAGGCTGTAGTGCAGTGGCATGATCTTGGCTCACTGCAACCTCCACCTCCTGGGTTCTCTGCTTCAGTCTCCTGAGTAGCTGGGATTACACATGTGTGCCACCACACCCAGCTAATTTTTGTATGTTTAGTAGAGATGTGGTTTCACCCTGTTGGCCAAGATGGTCTCCATCTCCTGACTTCGTGATCCACCCACCTCCACCTCCCAAAGTGCTGGTATTACAGGCATGAGTCACCATGCCCAGCCCATAATTTTCAAGACTTCAAGTCAATTATTTTATCTCTTATATTATTATGGAAAGGTGTTATTATAGGAGAGATATAACAACTTTATTAAATATCTTCTCATTATTTAGACCTTCACTTTTAGTACCTTAATTATTGGTAACCAACTACCATTACATTCTAAATAAATGTATTAAAGTAAATTATTCTTAATAATTTACATTACATTATTAAATATTATATTTCTCTCATAAGCATATTGCATTTATCATATATTATTAAATAATTTTCCTTTAAATCTTTTCATTTACAAATGTGGAAAATTGTCTTCAATTTGCCACATTTAAAAGAAATGATACTTTTTAGAAGAACATAGTAATAATAAATTTATGAAAAGTTTATGTCCTTAACAATAAATAAACTTCTGCCAAATTTTATTGGCAATTTTAACCAAACTGATGTGCCTGAAAAGTAGTTGTATATAAACTAGAATACATGACTATCTTCTAGGTTTTCCAAAATGGTTAGTGTAAAACAGAAAAATAGCATAAAGGGAGGGTAACATAAGCCAGGCAGTGTTATTGAACTAGACTGTATTTTCTGAGGAAGTGACTTCAAATTGAAAGAAAAAATTTTTTAAGGTTTGTCTCCATGAGAGAGAAAAATTCAGTCAATAATCCTGGTATGTTCCCCTTTGCCACCACACATTTATTCATTTAAACAAATAATGCAAAAAAATCTAGTTTGTGAACATATATAACACAATATCCCAATAGATTTTTTCCTGTTTTTTTTAAATTTATATATTCAAGCAATATGTAGACAACATGAGAATTTAGTTTTCCCATTAAAACGTATCTTTTGAGATTTCACATTCATTAATGGGCACATCCATATAATACAGTAGCATAAATAAATAAAACTTCAGTGGGGGACAAAAGCAACTTATTTTTATATGCTTCTGTTATCCTTTCCTTATATTAATGTAAACATTAACCATGATAAAATTGGTTATGATTCTGAGATGCCTGTTATGTGTGCTCTATTCTATTATTAAAGGGCCTGCTCAAATTTTTCTTTGACAGGATGATGAGGTAAGGGAAAGTCGATTCAGCTTCACAGCCTATGGAATGGGACCATGTCTACAAGCAAAAGATGGCATGACTCCAAAGGGCCCCAACCACCCCGTCCAGGTAATGCCAAAAAGCCCTGATGAAATGAGGAAGGTCTTTATCGACCGGGCCAAGAAGATTGACACCATCTCCCGAGCCTGCTTCCCATTAGCTTTTTTGATTTTTAATATTTTCTACTGGGTTATCTATAAAATTCTTAGGCACGAGGATATTCATCAGCAGCAAGATTAAGTTTCTGAGGGCAAGCAAGTGGAAATGGTCAATTCAGAAGAAAGCGTCTCTGCCATAGGTGTGTATGTTGTATGTGTGTGTGTGGTGTACAATTGATGACCCTTGTATTAAGACGACATATGGAAAAGGTTTGTATTTTGGGTAGCTATGCAAAGTCATGAGACAGATAAGATTATTTTAATAAACATAAAATATTCATTAGGGGATTTTATTTCATATTAATTCCAGATTATTTGTTTTTTCACAGTAAACCATGTAAGTAGAAGCTTTACTGCCAATGTGTTTATATGTTACATAATATCTCATAATAATAGACATGAAAACTACTTTGAAATTTCTTAATTTGTAATTTAATGCTATTTTATCTTACAAAAGCAAACTTCACACAGTAAACTTTATGACAGGAAAAGAGGGAAATTATAAAGATAATAAAAACTAATAGTTTGAGATTTAAAACTATTTTCTTATAGTATAGTTACAAAGTAATCAGTAACAGTGGGAAATTAACTCATATTAATGGAGGATTTATCCAACATATGTACAAATAGTACTTAACCAACGTATGTAATTTTGAGAATTTTCAAATAAGAGTATTAAAAGACTTTAATGGTTTGGAATACTAAATTTAATTGTTTAGAATATTAAATTTTCCTCTGTGCAAATTGTAAACAAGTATTATAAGAGATCATGCTACAGTCATGATCTACTTTTCTTAAACTTTCTATCTCTCAGAACGAAGGTGGAAATACAGAAAACAACTATGTTTTTAAATAAGTGTTATAGCTATGTATTTTAAGTTACTGCCAAATATTGAACAATTCAAGCCAGTACCCTTGTTCTGGTTAGATTTTTAATAGCTGCTTACCTAGATGTGATTGTGTTTAATATTTTGATATAATTGAACAGAATTCAGTGAGATTTTTATGTTTTAGTTTAGAATATGACTTTAAAATTCAATGGGATTAAAGTATTTACATTTTGATAAAAATGAATACAATGAAAATGAAAATGAATTCATGAAAGTTTTTTTAATAAAAACAATTTTCCCATCAGTGTGATATGGCTCCCAATTCCTATCTCCAAATGTAAGAAGGGAAAGTTTTAATTTTAAATGATATAAGTAAGTCATTTCTATAAAGTGAGGACTGTTTTTCTATTTCTGAATTAATGATTTCAAAGCCATTCACAAGATTCGAATAAGTTTAAATGAAATTTTTATGTAAAATTTATCAATGACCCTATGGACTACTTCAACAACAACAGAGCATTAGTAACTTGTTTTTTGTAGGGTAATTGGTTGCAAATATATGACAGAGGCCTTGGTAAATAGAACCAGACTCTTACTCTTTTTCAGTTTTGCTATTTTTTTTTAACTATTTTTACCATCAGTGTATTTGGGAAAGCTTTGGAATAATGCTTTTTAGGTATTTTCATTATTGATCAGATGCACAAACTCAATCTACCAGATTATTTGCAGAGAAAACTTTAAACATTAAGAAAACAAATAACTCAGATGTAAGATAGAAAAGCCAATTCTTAAACCGGATGCTATTTTTTACCCTTCGACCACTCTCAAATTAAAAGCAAAAACTACCACTTAAAACTAAAAACTTTACAATGTTAGTGTACATTAGCTTATCCAATTGTAATTTTTTAATGACATTTTAAAACATAATAAATGTTAAGCAGTTTTTTCTATTAAAAGACCAAGTTCCTTTCCTTAATAAGTAATTTAAAACAACACTATAAGGAAATAATACCATGTTTGGCATTATGTGCAGATGCCACAAGCAAAAGACTTTGTTACTCTGTACATACCTACGTTGAGGACTGTGTGCCTGGAAGTTAAACACATGCTTCTTCATATGATGTGTATTTAACAAAACCATGGAAACATATTTTTGTATTAAAGATTAGAGCAAGATATGTCATTTGTATTCCTTGAGAATTAGCAGGAAAGTTCGAAGTGTAAATTACATCATCTCGATGTGTCTCTGAAACACCTGAATATGTTTTTCTATACTTTACACATCTTATTTCAAAAGTTTCCCAACATTGGTTAAGTGAATTCTGCCAGGAACAAACAGAAAAATACCTGGAGAGCCCATCCAACTCTCAGTGACTATATTAGGGAATCAACTAGGCTGCTCCTCTTATTCTAGAATAAATTCTTATTCTGTTGATGTATTCTAATAACTTTTATCTTAATTTGGAATTATAAGTGCTTATATATTTATGTATCCCTAAGACTTGAATACATGTATTAGATTATGAATACCCTGGATCTCATGGAAAGTAAGGGAAATTTAAAAAAAGAAAGAAAGAATCCAAATGTTTAACAGAAGAGAGCAAGCTGTTCTGTTAGTACTCAGTGCAATTTAAGTAGTTATAATAATTGAAACAAATTTAGATGTATCTTCCATGCTATACATCCCTTTTTCTAAACATTTTTTATTCCACTTTTTAAAATATGCTTTTCTATTTCTCTCAATACAACATACTTCAACGTGCTGGTTACTTGGGAGTACTGAATATGATATTGGCAGCTAATATCCTTTCATCTGCAAAGTACACATTCCATGAAATGGACATGAGAGAATACGAGAAACCTGCCAAAATTGAAATAGAAATACTTGCAGTATTTTGTAAATGGAAAAGAGGGAAACTGAAAACACTGGGATTCACAGCTGTCCCCTAAAAATTTAGAACACTCTAAGATCAAAATTCTGAGAACAAAAATGTGTCTAATGATCCTGAGACAGATATCCTTAACAATCTTTGAGGTCATATCTCCTACTCCAAAAGCAATTCCACACACTTCGCAACACAGATAATAGCATTAACTCTCAAAATGTATCAGTACACACCACCTGTATTTTTCATCTAGTTAATATTGAATTACCAAAAATAGTAAGCCATTCCAAATTTAAGACAATCTGGTGTTCATTAATACAATATATTAGAAGACATAGTGTATATGGTCACACAGATTCCCTCTTGCAAATAAAATACTCATAATACCCATTGCATTTTGTTCCTGTGTAAGAGACATCTTCCTCAGCAGATACATTGGTTTTTATTTTCTTATTTGTGTACTACAGTGGTAAATAGAGCCATTGCATTTTTATTGTTATGTAAACCTTGCATGAATAAAAAAGCAGTGTACACTGTAAATTGCATTAATTTAATCAACTTTAAAATTAAACTTTTATCTCAGCCCCCACTTCTCTTTAAAAACAGACTGATATTAAAATGTGAACTTCCAAAGGGAGACACCTGGTACTCCAATTACTAAAAAAGTACAGGATGCATATTCTTCCACAACAAAGATACTTATAGGCCATGTGTAAAATATAACTCTCTACAATTGAAAAGTAACTAGGGCAGAGAAAAATATCCTGGGGAAGCTTCTCCCAGATATGAGGCCAAGAGATATAATCCCAAGTTAGTAGCTAGGACCCACTTACCTGTTTTTTGGGGTTTTTTTTGGTCTACATTTTACATCTTAGTAATGCCTTCATCTCTTCCTTTTTCCTCTCTTACACACACACACACACACACACACGTTTACATGTTGGTAATGAGATGAATTCCTTCGAATTAAAAATACAAAGGCAGTCAATTTTCCTGGACAAAGGTCCCTAATCCTGTGATATATTTTGCAATATTAAGTGATTACTGGTGGAAAATATGAACCATGTGGTCATTCGATTTGGCCGTCTCTTAATTATGCAACAATTTTTTGCCTCAAAAACACATAAACAAAGCTAACTGAATCAAGTCTTTAACCCTTAACAAGTGAATTCTAAAACATTATTTCCACCGTTTTCAAAGAACAGCAAAATAATTGTCAAAAACCTTTTTCAAATGACAGCTAGTAAAATTGGATGACTTTGTAGTGTCTGAATAGGTAGTTTTGCAGTACTTTTTAGAGTTAACACATAAACAGGAGAATTTTAAGGTGATGGAGTATTATTTTTCAAAAGTGATTCTGAATTCTGGCTATGTATTGGAATTCCTTACACATTTTAAAAATATATACATATGCTTGGTGTCCAACATAGAAGATTACGATTTAATCATGGAGTAAGCAAATATTCACTGAGTACCTCACATGTGCTTGGCACTGTCCCAAGTGCTAAATTTAGTATCTTTAGAGTATGATATGAAATTCTGGATGACTGAAAAAATTCCAGAAGTGAGAGAGTTGATGTGAACTTACACAAGCTTATTCTCTTAATAAGGATCAATTTTATACTTTTTAAGTTTTACAATTATTTTCTTTCAAGCAATTCATTTTAGTTGTCTCTCATTTATATTCTTAGAATTAAAAATAGGCCTGGCCCAGTGGCTTACACCTGTAATCACACTTTGGGAGGCTGAGGTGGTTGAATCACGTGAGGTCAGGAATTAGAGACCAGCCTGGCCAACACGGTAAAACCCTGTCTCTACTAAAAATACAAAAATTAGCCAGGCATGGTAGAGGGCACCTGTACTCCCAGCTACTCAAGGAAGGCTGATGTGAAAGAATTGCCTGAGCCCAGGAGACAGAGGTCGCACCACTGCACTCCAGACTCGGTGACAAAGTGAAACTCTGTCTCAAAAACAGACAAGCAAAAACAGAATTTAAAATTAACCTTAAATGTGTTTCAGTTCAGCTTTCCTCCCAATGTCAGCATCTTCACTGTGGGTAATATTATCCACACTCTGAGCACCCGAATAGCAACAGGTAGCTCATTACTCTAAGGGCAGTCTTCTGTTTCATTGTGACATTACTCTAGATAATAAAAATGTTCATCTTCATCAAGAAATAACTTTTACTTCCTAAAATACTAAATAAGTTTATTCCCCTCTCATAAGAAAACCCCTGTGTATTTTCATATTTCTGCCATCTGTATTTAAGTTCAATCAACCCCTTATCACTCGATTTATTCTTATTTAAGCCACTCATGAGAGCATTGTGTTAATAATGAGATATTTTCAGGCATATAAAATAATGAAATATGAAATTAGTTATCTACATAAATAGAAATTGATGAAAATTCTATGTAAATTATTTTCAGACTTTTAATGTCTTCCTGTAACTTAGCAATAAATTTAAATATTTTTAAATTTATATCAGATATCAAGATATTATATAAAACTCTACAGAGTAATATGAATTTAAAAAAACTAGCAGTCAACTATATTAAATATATGATGTATTTTTAGAGTAAAGCTACAATAAAAGTACAATGAATTAAGTTGTTTTATTTTAATAGCTGCTTTTTCCCTGGGGTGGTTTTAACAAAGGTGTCTTTGGGCAACCTCCGCTCACATACATATTATCCAGCCTAACTGATTAATGGTAGGGAGCTGTGACTTAAATGCCAGGAAAGGATTCAGATGTAAAGTTGTACTTGAATATGCTTGAATAATTTTGCACTCCTTCACTTTTTTCTCTATGAATTATTCAATGGTTATTCCTTAAGTCTGTATTTTAATGTATAATAAACGATAAAATTGGGGGAAAAATAGAGTGAAGTACCCTGACATTCTATGGATATAATACGATATGCTATAAAAAACAAAACAAAAAGAAAATGTGCCATATATTTTCCATGTACCAGCTTTCTATGATATACAGTGACTTCGTTATTAGTGAGCCAAGTTATTTAAAGGACTACCAAAAAACATATTGCTATTTCATGGTTTTTATGGTGTAAATTATTTTTCTGTCTTCTTGAGTCTTATGTCTAAGTCTGTCTTCCTTGTCCAAATGCTGTCATATTTTTCCAGGAAATTATACTGAAAATATGTTTTAAAATGTATGCACGACTTTATCAACTTGTTTTTCATTATATTATCTTTAGTTCAATTTTGCAACTGACAAACTCTCTATCAGAGTCATTAACCTGTGAACAGTATAAAGTATTTATCATGGAACTGTAGATAATTTGATCACAAACAATAAAAATGAACACTTTTCAAGAATATGGATACCTCTTTCGTCTAATTTTTTTAAAGGCCATATTTTATTATAGAATTAGGCTGTTTTCCTGACAAAGGTCTCACTACCTTTTAGTTCTCATGGAAACTATTACATCTAGGATTACAAAGTCAGTGAGATATCATTCAGAGAAGTCTTAATATATGCATTTCGTTATAGAAAAAGCACAATGAGAAGGATGGTAAATGGAACTTTTCTACTAAATATAGAACAAGAGATGTGTTACTAACTAGAAAAACGACTTGGCATTATTGTATTTGTAGTTTTTGTTTGTTGGTTGGTTTGAAAGACTTCCCAAATCTCTTTATTGAATAAACCCCCTTCACTTACCCATATAGACTATTTCAAAATGAAATCCTAATCATTTTTTTGAGATGGAGTCTTTCTCTGTTGCCCAGGCTGGAGTGCAATGGTGCTGTCTCAGCTCACTGCAACCTCCGCCTCCCAGGTTTCAGTGATTCTCCTGCCTCAGCCTCCTGAGTCACTGGGAATATAGGTGCACACCACCATACCCAGGTAATGTCTGTATTTTTAGTAAAGATGGGGTTTCACCATGTTGGTCAGGCTGGTTTCAAACTCCTGACCTCGTGATCCTACCGCCTCCCAAAGGGCTCCCAAAGTGCTGGGATTACAGGCATGAGCCACCACACCCAGCCTAATCTTTTTTCTTTTTTAATCTGTCTTTCTTTTTTCCTCCACACTGTTACACTGGAGTTTAGTGATAGAATACTAGAAAAAAAAATAAGAAAAAATACAGTATATAAGAAATTTACAAAAATATTACAATTTGGTATATGATAACTAATCTGTCATTTTTAAAGTACCTATAATTTATATGTAACAGTCTTTGACACTTTTGTATGTTGATTGGCACAAAGTTCTGGAAAATAAATTCCTTGCTAAATCAGCATGATTATTTTCTTCAATGAGTTGACCTTCACTAATTGCTTACATGGTTCATATATGACATCAGCAGAAACTCGAGACTGAAATGCTGCCGTAGAATCAGGCCAGGTCATCTGTAAGTACAGTGCTAGAGGCATCTATAGGTAATAGACCCCTAAACAAAATGTGTAGGAATAAATGTAATGTGACTACACTAAGAATGGAGAGAAGCTTATTTGTAAACTATGATTTATTAAGTTAATTTGCACTACTATGGTTTAAAATATTTTCATTACTCTCATGATATTCATCATTTTCCATATCACTACATTGGTTGTACATATTTTATTTCAGTTTACTCTTGCTGACAGTTGCTTTCTGCCTTGATAAACTGATTATTTAAATATATTGCTTCTTTGTAATTTTGTATAATTTGCATTGTTAATTACACACTCATTGGAATTCTAAATCAAATGAGGCCATATTTACTGAGCTATACTATAAATATTTAAACATTTTGTTTTTATGTTTCCTTATATTTGTATATTTGACCCCATGTGTTGTCTTAACATGTTATCTCTGTTGATGCTCTTTATCCAACATTGTACTGCTCTGACAGTATCTAAAAATTCACTTGGGCCAGCTGTTAACTGGAAGCTGGGTTGTGAATAGAAGCTGGCACTATGACAGAAAATCAGACCTGGATATAAGTTAAGGCAGTGAAGGCAAATTTTATTCATGCTCTCGTGCAGTGGGGACAGAGAGATCTCAGTATAGAACTGGGCTGCATTCTAAACACCAGGACAAGTGGGGATTTCTGGACAAGTGGGGGTCAGTGGATGGAAAATTACTAAAGAGGAAGCCTCACAGCGACTCTGGCTAAACTGACTTTGCAAAATTCTTGCTGAATGCAGGGAGGGCGATAACATACTGAAGGTGGAGGAATAAGAAATTTGAGCGATATCAAGGATAAGGGATTTTCATTAAAATGAACCAGCAGAATTCTTGCCTAATTGAACTAAATAGACTGAGAACAGAATCCAAGTTGGGGCCTAATCCAAAAGGGAGCTCAGAAGAGTATGACCAGAGTGTGGTCCAGGAGAGAATCTTGCCATCATCTGTAGTCTATTCTGTGACATGAGGAATGAATTGTCCGAAAACTTGTTCTTCAAATAATTAATGAATACTAGTTAAAAATCAAATGACATTCACTTGCAGTTCTGTAACCTAGTGGCTCTTGATCTTTCAAAGTGGTCTCTGTTCTTAAGCCATTAAAAAATCATTATTTTGATGTCCGATTCCTTTTGTTTCTGGGATAAAAGATAACTCTTCTAAATGATCTGTTACAGAAATAATTATGTTTATAGAGTCTTATTGAAATAATTTCTCCCTCCTCAAAAAGCAATTTCCTACAGATTGACCTTGCTTGAAATATTATTCTGTGGAAGATTGAGCTTATGGGTATAGCATTAAATTTTTTAAGTTACTAATCAAAGAAAATGAGAATTAAACATAAATAGAAAACAATAAGTTCATTGAAATTGTCAAATTATTTGACAGATAATAGAAAATCCAAGAGCACTAGTTTATATTTTAATTGCTAGAAAGTTACTTAAGGAAGATGGATAATAAATTATTAAATGCTTGTATTTGATAAATACCAAAATTGAAGCTAGAAACCTACCTAGTAATAACCTTGGTCCTTCCTTTGTTCTCTCTATTATCAGCAAATTTTTTGAATCTCCACTTTATTAGGCCAACAGAAAAGCTTCCTCCACTTTCATTAGCAAAGCAAAAATGGAAATAATCTGCAGAAACCATATGTCATAGACAAGAGGTTTCCTTTATTTTCATTTTAAGTTAGTACTTTTCCTAGGTAATCAATAATCCCTAAGCAATACTCAATGCTTCCTAAAGTGACGGAACTTATAATGATGCATTGCCTGTAGTAAATTAAAATATCTTTCCAACTTAGGTGACTAATTTGTGTTTTTTCCTTCTTGAATGAAAAAGAATACAAGAAACAAGTAGACATAGTATATTATTTGCATTTTACTTCAAATCAAATATATCAGAATCCATTTGATGTTGTGAATTGGTTATATTTGAAATATCATTTTTATATTATCCGTAAAAATGTACTAATGAAAATACTGGGGAAAATAAAAAAGGTGTTATTTAGAATCATCAAAAATACAACTAGGGAAATTATGTTCATATGACTTATTCACCTAATGGACAATATAATTTCATTTCTAAAAAGAAACTTTAAAAGCATATTAGTGTGATAGTGTAAGTCATGAGTTGCTTAACAACAGGAATATGTTCTAAGAAATGTATCATTAGACGATTTGTCACACAAACACCATAGGGTGTACTTATATCTATCAACATGGGATATACTACTCCCCCTACGCTATATTGTATAGTGTACTTCTATGCTACAAACCTGTACAGCATGTTAGTAAACTGAATACTGCAGATAACTGTAATATAATGGTAAGTATTTATGTTTCTAAACATATATAAGCATAGAAAAGGTACAATAAAATATAGAATAAAAGGTAAAAAGTAGTACCTCTGTATAGGGCGTTTAACTGGAAAGGACCCTGCCAGACTGGAAGTCGCCCTGGGTAAGTCAGTGAGTGGTGAGTGAATGTGAATTCCTAGGATATTAGACTACTGTTGACTTTATTTTTATGAGATGGAGTCTTGCTTTGTAGCCCAGGCTAGAGTGTGGTGGTGTGACCTTGGATCACTGCAACCTCCACCTCCCAGGTTCAAGCAATTCTCCCTGCCTCAGCTCCTGAGAAGCTGAGCTTACAGGTGCCCAGGACCATTCCCAGCTAATTTTTGCATTTTTTAGTAGAGATGGGTTTTCACCATGTTTGCCAGGCTGGTCTTGAACTCCTGACCTTAGGTGATCCTCCTGCCTTGGCCTCCCAAAGTGCTGCGATTAGAGGTGTGAGCCACAATGCTCAGCCACACTACTGTAGACTTTCTAAATGCTGTACACTTAGGCTACGCTAAGTTTAATTTTTAAAATTTCTTCAGTAATAAGTTAATCTTGGTGTCATAAATGTTTTTACTTAATTATTTTTAACTTTAAGAATTTTTTGTAACAACTCTTAGCTTAAAACACAAATACATTGTACAATGGTACAAAAATAATTTCTTTCTTTATATCTTTATTGTATAAGCTTTTGTCTGTTTAAAATCTTTATTTAATTCTAAAAGATAAACTTTCTAAACTTGTTAAACTCTTTTGTTAAGCACTAAGACACAGACACACACATTAGCTTAGGCCTGCACAGGTCAAGATCATCAGTATCACTGTCTTCATCCCCATCTTGTCCTCCTAGAAGATCTTCAGGGGCAACAACACACACAGAGCTGTCAGCCCTTACGATAAAAAGATCTTCTTCTGGAATATCTCCTAAAGCACCTGCCTGAATAGGTTTTCCAGTTAACATTTTTTTTTTTTTTGCATAAGTATAATGCACTCTAACATAATGATTAGAAGTCTAATAAATACTAAACAATAGGAATTTTTTAGCTCCATATAATCTTAAGGGACTACTGCTGTATATGTGGTCCATGGTTGACTGAAAGGTCATTATGCAGCACATTACTGTATTTAATATTGTTAGCATATGTTATTAACTGTTTCATGGGTATTACTTATGCTAAACATGCTCACCTTTTAATATCTGTTACACATTGTATTCTTAAGCAACAAAATATGACAAGTTCGTCTGGTGTTACAAGCATGGTAAATCCCTAAGTGATCAAAATGTTTGATGCCGATAATTGAGAAATACAATTAAAGAGTGTATTATTAATACCCATTTTTTTTAGAATAAAGCAACATTTCCCTTCTCTCTCCCTCTTTTTCTTCCTCTTTCTTCCTCTCCTTCACTCCTTTTTTTTCTTTCCTTCTCTCAAAAAAAGAAACGAAATCAACTTGTAGACCTCTAGAGCCAGGTCGGCAATGTCTCTCTCATTGCTCGATTTCCTTCCTTCCCTTCTCTCCCTCCCTCCCTCCTTCCCTCCCTTCCTCCCTTCCTGCCTTCCTCCCTTCCTCCCAAAAAAAAAAAAA